CAGAATGTCCGGATGGAGGGTGGACTCGAGGGAACAACATCGAAGATAACATTTTTTTCACGAACATCTGCGGGATTAACAGCAACATTGATGCTGTTCATCACTACCTGCAATCCAATCGTCCCGCCATGCTTTTCTTGGTGGAGACAAAATTCTCAGAGTCCGCACCGACTAACCATCTTAGCTTACCAAATTACGAGGTGCATTCCAATCTGAGAAAGATCGGGGGAGTTGTGGCTTTTGTCCGCAACAGTCTTTCCTGCTCCAGAGATGTTTCTTTGGAATCAGACCGAAAGGACATTCTGTGGCTTCGCCTCAACTCCAAAACATCTCCCAAATTTATTTGCTGCCTTTATTGCTCCCCTCGGATCATAACTGGGATGACCTTCTTGAATACCTCGCCGTCAAGATCGACTTCCTGAACATCAAACACTCCGCTTCAGAGGTAGTTCTCCTCGGTGATTTCAAAGACCATAATTTGCTTTGGTTGGGCTCAAACAACACCGATGCAGCAGGTCGTGCAGTTAAAGCGTTCGCTCTTATTTATTTATTTATTTATTTCCAACAGGTGAAACCCAATTACAGGAAATGGTGCAAAAAATAACAATTAAAGAGACATGGTTCTTGGACTTAAATCTATAGTATCACACATTCTAAATAAGATTGGATGATCTATAGCAGTTAATAATCGATGCACAACTGTCACTGTAAATATCACACGATTCAGTAACACTGTTTATGATTGCAGCACATGAGATTAATTGGCGATTTTGTCATAACATTTGTACGGCCAGCTTGACAATAGAATGCCGTTTGTTGTCGACTCCCTAGCCTTGGAAAGCGGAAACATTTTTTTTTCAAGTAAATTTTGACAGTCAATTTTATTGTGAATAAGGCCATTCAAAAGCGACAAAGCAAATATGTTTTGTCTTGTTGACAGTGAATCCAAATTAAAAAAACTCTAATGGGGCACTATGGTCACAACCTCTTTCTGGATAAGAACCTGTGCATTTAAGGTGAAAATACTTTAAAGCTTTACGTTGAATGGCTTCAAGGATCACGACATAATTTTGGTATATAGGAGACCAGATCAGAGTCGCATACTCCAACTTGCTCCTCACAAAAGTAAAAAATAAAGTCATTAATGTCTCAATATTGGAGAAACCCTTCCAGTTTCTGATACAGAAACCAAGTAGCCGAGTGGCAGCCGACGAGATATTGAGTATATGCTCAGTAAACGTTAGCTTGGCATCAAAAGTGAGGTGCATCTGTCTATAACCTAACCATTGATGTTATAATTATCATAAATTAAATAGTTAACCTTTCTTGTATAAGTCATAACATTCGAAACATTCAGACTGAGACAGTTTCGTGAACACCATGACGAAATTAGAGCTTAGTCATCTTGCAACATAATGCAATCCTCGACTGTCTTGACTGACGTGCAGATTTTAAGGTCATCAGCGAAAAACAAATGGAAACACTTCAATTAGATTTGACCCTTGAGGTACCCCGGACGTGGCCCGATAGTAACTCGACCTATTACCACCATATTCGACAAATAACCTTCTATCCCTCAAATATGAATTCATGAGCGACAGCATTGCATCAGACATACCCACTGTTTTAAGCTTATCCAGAAGTGCATAATGATCAACTTGATCAAACGCCTTCTAAATATCTGTGTAGATGACATCAACTTGTCCCTGACCGTCCAGTACTTTAGAAATGTACTGAGTAATTAGAGCCAAGTTGGTGACCGTAGATCTGCCTCTCATAAACCCATGCTGATTGATAGAGACTGCACCCCTGACCGAGTAGAAAACCGTTTCATAAGCGATGATCTCAAACAACTTGCTGAAATTGCACAGGATTGCTATTTGGTGATAGTTGGAAATATCAGAGATATCTCCACTTTTGTGAATAGGACATATTTTAGAGGTCTTCCAGATATTTGGATATGTCTCTGATTTTAGAATTAGGTTGAATATGGAAGCCAGCGGTTTCGCTAGTATATGAATGCAATCTTTAACGAAAAAACTTAGAATACCATCACATCCAGACGTCATTTTGTTCTTTAATCTTTTCGAAGCCCTAATTACGTTTTCTTCACTTATATTTTTTAAAGAAATTATATCGGTAGAATTATTTGTTGGGGGAGATGACCCTAGTAGACCAGACGGGATAAAAACTGTTGAAAAGAAGGTAGAAAAACTGTCCACTATATCCTGATGCGTATCGCAGACATTGCCGTTAAGCGTCATCCTTGGGGGGATTCTAGATTGCTGTTTTCTGATCTGGGCAAATAACCAGAATTTGCTATGATCATTGACAATGGCATCCTCAACCGATTGGACGAAAGCGGAGTGGGCAACACTGATCTGGTTCTTAATGAGCTTCCTAAAATTACTGAACTGATCATAAGAAAACTTAGTACCGTCACGTTTCCAGTTCCTTCTTGCTATGTCCTTCTTCTTGATGTTAAGTATAATTTCACGTGTGAACCATGGGGGATACGAAAACATTTTATTTTTACATTTAGGGACATGGACCTCAAAGATGTTATTGATAACTGAATACAAGGCGGTACAAGCGACATCAACATTAACTGCACTGATCACCTCCGTCCAATTAACATCTTGCAAAGCTGTGGGCATTTCAGGAAAGTTAGCTTTGCGAAAGTTAAACCGTGGAGAGTTAGCAAATGGGAATTTCGTTGGAGATCCGGATGTAAAGAATTCCATGATCAGTGCAGGATGATGAACGTCCTCTTTAACTGAGGACTTCTTTTTCGATATTCCCTAAAATTAAATCCAGTATTCGACCATTTATATTTGGAATATTATTAAAATTAGTTAAATCTAAAAACGAAATAAAGTTGCTCATTAATTCAGACTTCTGATCATTAACGTCACCGTTGAATGATGCGACATTAAAGTCACCAGCAACAATTATTTTACAATTACTGAATGCATTGTTAAATACTTCCAAAGCTTCAAGGTACTGACCAAACATGTCCAAATTAATTGAAGGCGGAATATAAATAGAAAAGATAACAAAATGCTCATGGATAATAATAAGCCTAATACATACAGTATCAATCGACGGGCTTACTCATGGGCTGACCCAGCTGGTGACGGGCCCTACTTTTTTTTCCCGCGTCTCGTCACAGGCCAGTAGCCTACTGGATCTCTTTCTGACCACGCATCCTGTCCCTTATAACACTGCTGTCCTGTCTCCCCTGGGTAACTCAGACCACTGTGTTGTGGAGGTTAGGTTTCGGTCAGAACCCGCTGTTTCAGCAGAAACTCGCACAGGCCGCAAAATTTCTTCTCTACCTTCCGTCGGCTGTCTGTTCTTCGATAACCGAAATTATCCACGTCGGAATGGAGGAATACATGCCTCATACTGCTGATATAATAGAAGTGCTTGATTGTGTCAATATTTGCACCATTTACTTGATCTGTTTAATGGGCAGTTCAGAGTCTTAATCCTTAAGCTTATTACATACTAGTAGACCCCGTTGCGCAATTTGTCTATAGGCAGCCTAGAGACGGTCTCAAGGCACGATCTATAGATGGTCTACAGTCTACAGACACCCTTCTTTGTCTTGTCTAGCGTACATACGATAATGTGAATCTTTTGGTCTCACGTTCGTTTTCACAATCAAAGACATTGTTTTGTGTGGAATGGACTGGGATATGCCTCGGGGTCCCTCAGAATGTTTTATTTATTTTTTGTCGGTTAACAGAGCAATGAAGTTTTTTATGTTTGAATCTTTAATATTATTACACTAGTTAATTATAAATGCCACGTTCTCATATAATAAAATAGTGGCTTTCTGAGGATTTCTGAGCATTTTCCATGTATTTTTTCAAGCTGGCTTTCACTAGATAGAACACAATGGATTTAAGGAGCAATAATAGGATAAATTCTAGAAGTTCCATTGAGATTAAAAAATGACCAGCCTCAAATATCGTTTGCGCCCCACTACACCACCCCCGCTCCTTCCCAGACGAAATCCTGAATCCGCCAAGACTGCGTAAAATAAATGTGTAGACTTCGACTCGCCTGTCACTTAGATGGTAGGAGTCACTGGGATCCATTTCTACTTCAAATTCCTCACTAGGGAGTTTCATATTCTTTTATAGCCATATTCCAATTCAGCGTTGTTGAACTTTTTTCATTTTTTTACCCGCTTGAAGATTCCATCCACCTTAAATGTCCTTAGGAAATGCTGAACGTTGCCATTGTATATTCTATCCCATTGCAGTTATTATAAAAATATCAAAACGCGTATCATATAATAATCATTTGATGTTTCTCAATACCGACTTTATCAGTTAGGAGAAAAGTATCAATGCAATTTTGACAGAATCACCCGCAGAAGAACGAAGTATGCTTTCTAAGAATCGGGGTTTCAGACGACAGTGAAAGTTAGAAATACAACCAAGATAAAATAATATATTTAATGCAAAAGTAACTTAACTGCTGATACCTCATTAGCATTTTATAAGTCATTGAGAGCGTAGCTAAAATAATCAAGAGATATGCTTCAACATCAAAGTTAACAACGAAATAACTGAAACGTCTGAAATACATACACTAATTAAGAAAAAAAATCGTAAGGCAAGTGGCTTATTTGATCCTCGAGGCATGACAGCAGGAAACAAGCAGAAATACGAATATTTAATTATTTATATATTTATTTATAAATATCTAATATGGCAGAGTTGGTCTACTCGGCACAATTTCGTAACACTGGTAAAGAACATACTAAGGCTAAATTCAGGTTTTTTTGCACCGTTTTCAAAATCATTTCTATCATTCCATGGCTTGAAGACGACGCATCTAAGTCTTTGAAACTAATTTGCGATTACTATGATATGACAAATTCTAAAACGCACGATACAATAACACCCTTTGTGTATAAATTCGGACTTGTTACATGCCTGTGTGATTTTATATCCATTCACTTTTATTCATGTTATGTCTTTTAGGTGGAGAACCTGGACATGCGGATAGGCATTCACTCTGGATCAGTACTTTGCGGTGTTCTGGGTCTAAGGAAATGGCAATTTGACATTTGGTCTTCTGATGTAAGATTGGCTAACCATATGGAATCTGGAGGAAAGCCTGGGTAAGAAGCGCTACAAGAATTATCAAACATGCATTATGAACTATATTATGTTGTTTTCTAGGCAAGTGCATATATCTGAATCCACATATCAATCTTTGAATGGCGCTTATGAAGTAGAACCAGGCAATGGGCAGGAAAGAGATGCCTACCTTAAAGAACATAGGGTTGTGACGTATCTGATCAAGCAAGTTGAACCTATGAGAAGCAGGAGAAGACTAGCTTCTAGACCAAGGTATTAGATAAACATCTGAAGTCTCGTGTGCTTATACATTTTGTTCCAAGAACGAATGTCACCAGGTCACTATTTTTACAATCACATATTATAATGGGTGATTTTTTTGCTAGTATCTTTTTGGCAACACTGTTTTTGACAGATGACGTGTGAATCGTTATGCCATTGTCAAACTTGTTCAGTTTGGTCTATAATTTGACCATGAATTGACTTACGAACGAACAACGCTTGCAAATTATTGAATTTTACTATAAAAATTCATGCTCGGTTAAGAGAGTGCATCGAGCACTGCTTCCAATTTATGGGCGATTTGGTCGGCCTACTGAGGGAGCTATTCGGAAGCTTGTGACTAAATTTCGAACCCCGTTTACATTATTGGACATTAAACCACCAACACCCAGACGTATAGTGAGGACTGAAGAAAATATTGCGGCTGTATCCGCCAGTGTTAGTGATGACCGTGAAATGTCGATTCGCCGCCGTTCGCAGCAATTCGGCCTCTGTTACTCCACTACGTGGAAAATTTTGCGGCAGGATTTGGGTGTAAAACCTTATAAGATACAGCTGGTGCAAGAATTGAAGCCACACGACCTCCCACAACGTTTCCAATTTGGTGAATGGGCGCTGGCAAAATTGGAGGAAGATCCACATTTTTATCGAAAAATTGTGTTCAGCGACGAAGCTCATTTCTGGTTGAATGGGTACGTTAACAAGCAAAATTGCCGCATCTGGAGTGAAGACCAGCCAGAATTGCAAGAGCTACCAATGCATTCCGAAAAAATCACTGTTTGGTGTGGATTATGGGCCGGTGGCATCATCGGGCCGTACTTCTCCAAAGACGACAATGGCCGGAACGTAACTGTGAATGGCGAGCGCTACCGTGCGATGATAACAAACTTTTTTTTGCCCAAAATGGAAGAGCTGGACTTGGCTGACATGTGGTTTCAACAAGACGGTGCCACATGCCACACCGCACCCGAAGCAATGGCCCTATTGAAAGGCGAGTTCGGTGAACAGTTTGTCTCACGTTTGTGGCCCGTCAATTGGCCGCCTAGATCGTGTGATTTTACGCCGTTGGACTATTTCTTGTGGGGCCATGTTAAGGCTAATGTCTACAGGGATAAACCAGCAACGATTGAAGGATTGGAAGCCAATATTGAAGCATTTATTCGTGAGATACCGGCCGATATGTTGGAGAGAGTGTGTCAAAATTGGACCTTGCGCATGGACCATCTAAAGCTGAGCCGCGGCCAACATTTACATGAAATAATCTTTAAACATTAAATTATATCGACCGTTCTATCGACTCAAATAAATATTTAATCGTTTTTTCAATTTTTTTTTGTAAAATCAAATCCTATACCTCTTAAAAAATCACCCATTACATTTTGTTCCAAAAACGAGTGTCACCAGGTCACTATTTCTAAAATCACATATCAAATAACAAGGAAGCTGTGATTTGACTTTGAGCTCTATCTTTGTGTCCTTCATTTTTGTTAATATATTCATTGATATAACAGTATCAGCGAGATAGAAGCATTTAACTGAAAACAAATTATACAATACAAATTGCTTGAACGAATACTATCGTGTCTATTTTTCAGTATATTTTCAAACAAACTTTGGCCAGATGATGATCTAAAAAGCGGGAATACAACTCCTAAAAGTCCTTCCACCCCTGTTTCTATCCCAATGCAGTCTCCAGAAGAGAGAAGTGATAGTGGGATACAACAAAGTGGGATAGATGATGAGAATACAACAGATTGGACGCCCGAAATACCTTTTGAAAATGTAAGAAACTTTGACCAGATGTTACAATTATATCATACGCAAGATATTGATTCAAGGCTTTCAAAAAACTCATTATAAGTCGATTACTCGTAAAATAAAAATGACAAACAAAAACTCTAGTATACTGCCGTAGATGTTTGATAACAACCTTGAATATGCAGGTTTTTTCTAGGTCGGATAAGTTTGCATAAAACCCACTCATTATTATGTTGACACAAACCTAACACCAATTGTGACGAAAGATACAACAACATTATTTACACATTTTCTAGAATTTCAAACAACAAAAAATGTTTTAGTTGCATCGTACACTGTCAAATGAGCTGGAAGAAGAAACTGAAACTGTCTCATATAAACAAAAATATGATACCGTCGAGAAGTACAAAAAGAGAAACTCCACTTTCATTCCCACTGTAGAACAGGTGGATGATATCATAGATCATAGCATTGAAATTGAAAGCAATAAAAGAATGAGAAATGCTAACGTTAATCCGTGGACCCTTAGGTTCAAAGATAAGGACATGGAACTTAAGGTAACCTAAACATGTCGATTTTTACGTAGTCATACCACCAAATAGGTATCCCGTAGGTATACAGGGTGTTAGGCAAGTAATATTCGTAACTTTAAGAGGTGATTCCTTGCGTTATTCTAAGCAAAAAAGTTCATTATAACCTATGCCCGAAAATCAATCGTTTCGGAGCAAAAAAATGCTGAACTTATTTCTTTTTCGTCATGAAATAAATTAATTTTTGCACCTTAATAATTTAAGTTCGAATGCCTATTATCGTAAAATGTATCAATACATCTATTTATATATAACATATATATAACAAAATAATTTTCTTGCTTATTAAATACAATTTTCCGAAGAAAAACAGACAAACAAAATCCCTCACACAACTGGCAACGTCGTACTCTGCCTGCACTGCCTGTATCATCGTGCATTGCATCGTTTCAAATAAGTTACTGATAATCGTGGGAATTGGTGGTGTGTATCGCCACGTATCGGTAAGTTCTGTCATTTTTTTTTAAATAAATGTGCTGTACTGAAATCGCTATTAAACAAATATTAGCCACAAAAAATTGCGTAAAAGTATTCAATAATTCAAGGCATATTTTCAACAAAAGTATCATGCAAACGTAAACAATTCGATGAATCAGTTACGGTCGTCGTGCGTTCGTATCGGGGTTGCGTTGCAGCGTTGCCAAATGTTTAAGAAAATTTTATTATTTACGACTCACTTTCCTCGAAAACGATTGATTTTCAGACATATGTTATCATGAACTTTTTTGGTCAGAATCATGCAAGGAATCACCTCTTAAACTTACGAATATTATTTCCCTAACACCCTGTATACACGGTCAGTTCTTAGTGTGTAATGGTCAATAGATCTGTGATTTTAAAATATATTTAGAAAAGTGATTTGCAAGCAACTATAAATGTTCACAAAATATGACGCTCTCTATACGGTGATTCGTAACAACGTGGCAACACAAACATGCATGTTTTTATGCAACAGCCTGATCATTTAAATTTTTCCAAACAACTACTTCAGAAGTTTGATGTTTTATGATGTTTAATGAAATTTAAGAGCTTGAACATCAATCAGTGATACAAATAGAGTAAGTGAGTTGCATAACTAATATTTTCTCGTCATTTGAACTTTTTTAACGAAAAAAAAGTCGCCATTCTGTCTGCAGAAGTGACTGAATTACAAGCTGTCAAATTTGTTTGTTTTTACTTTCCACGCCTACTGGCGAGAAAATATTTCAATCGAAAAATTTTTCGAACATGAGATATAATGTTTTTTGGATGTTATATGACATCAACGGTCTGCCCGCCAATCTTATAATCGCCTATAACTTGAAAATTGCCGCTTGGATTTCGATGGAATTTTTACACAATGTTACTACTATGTCAAGAACGCAAAAGCTTTGTAGATTTTGAAAATCGCTTCACTGTCAGCAGAGAAAAAGGCCTAAGACGGAAAAAGCAAAAATCGCTCAAACATGGTTTGTTGACATAGCAGAGGATCCTAATAAATTTAGAAAAAAAATTTAAAGGTAAAAAATATTGATGATGGGAGTTGTGCGTGGGGGGTGGGAAGGTTATTATTTTAAAATTATTGACCGATTACATGCAAAGAACTCACGCTGTATGAGTACCCCTACCTTTCAATGCAATTATTGTTTCAGTTTAGTCAATTGAGGGAAGATATGTTCAAATCCAACATGATGTGCTGCTTCGTTATTTGGTTGTTCATAGTGATTTGTCAAGCAATTATAGTAAACTTGGCGTAAGTATCAATCAAACCTACATTATACTGATGATTGTCTGAAGGACTATTTCGTCGGCGACTATTTCTGATGCGTGAGTTGTCTCTTTGTTGAAATAAAATATATTTGATATGCAGAATTCATATATCCCAGTATTCTTCGTAAAATACAATGTTCGAATTTATCCTCTCCACAAGACTTCGCAGAATTCTCCGTGAGTGATGGAAATCCGAGAGGGTTTTGCGCCGGCTAATGCTTCCAGAATCACCAACTGAAAGGCCCTTTTATATTGGGATTCTCGAATTGCATTTCTGCTACTCCAAGCTGAAAGGGCTCCCACACGCAACCTATACAGGATGATCCGTACTTAAATGGACATAGTCAAGTGGTAGGTAGTATGGACCGAGGCCTTACCATATCTAAAAACAAAATGTTCTAAGGTTAGCTTTTACGGTGATTTATCTAAACATCCCAAATCTTTAATATACTAAGTGACATATAAATCCGAACACCCAGTTTAAATGGTTTTATTTTAATAAAATTTTGTATAAGTACTTAATGAAGCATAATAAGTAAATGATAAAAATTTCAAAATGATTGCACTGCTTTAAAGCCCTTTGACCTTTAATAATGTGATCAGGTGGTCAATGTCCTCCTGTGGTATCTCATTCCAGGCAACCACCAACTCCTCTCGAAGTGCTTCTAGAGTCTGAGGAGGACGTTGCAAATTGAGCAATCTCCTTCCCATCACATCCCACACGTGCTCAATTGGGGATAAGTCGGGAGATCTTGGTGGCCATGGTAACAATATGACATCATTATGTTGAAAGAAGTCTATTGTGACTCTTGCAACATGTGGTCGGGCATTATCTGGTTGGAAAGTTGGATTTGCCAGGGTGTCAAGATAGGGTAAAAGATGGGGTTCTAGAACTTCGTGGATATAACGCTGCGCGTTCATGTTACCTCTGATGAAGATTAAAGGTGACCTGGAACCATAAGCTATAGCATCCCAAACCATAACTCCAACAGTGTGATGAACATGTCTTTCAACAAAAAACTGTGGATTCCTCCTTTCACCACGTCGCCTTCTAACCCTGGCACGACCATCGTGCATGCCTAAACAAAATCGAGACTCGCCACTAAAGACAATACTGTTCCATTCCTGATCCCAGAGTGACCGTTGTCTGCACCACTCAAGGCGATTACGTCGGTGTTCTCGAGCTAAAGGGAGGACCCAGTGTGGCCGGTATGAAAACAAGCCAAAACTTCTCATTCGTCGGTAAACACTTCGCATGCCAATAGGTCTTCCGTGTTCTGCAAACCATTCATTTGCAATGGACCTGGTAGTGGAGAAACGGTCCCTTAAGGCCAATAATCTTAGGCGGCGATCTTCACGGTCTGTTGTTCTACGGCGGCGTCCAGTGCCCCTTGCTCTTTGCGTACGGCCTTCTCGAAGCCATGCCTGACAACACATAACCACAGTGTCTACACTTCTTTGCACTCTAACTGCAATTGCCCGAAAAGAAAGTCCAGCTTCCCGAAGTCCCACTATACGGCCCCTATCAAACTCCCTAAGTTGACGAAATCGTACAGGACTCCGTACTCTAGGCATCGTAACCGATCGTAAAGGATGTCAAGAACCAAAATCCGCCAACGTTGATTCTTTACTGCGGTTGAAATATTCATTTTTAGAGCGTTAGTGAATTAAAGAAAAGCAGTATAAAAACTGGAATGTCCAACTGATAAGGCTGAAAATTTTTTCACTTGTTATTTACAGTAAGATAAATACATTCACCAACTTTTATTAAAATAAAACCATTTAAACTGGGTGTTCGGATTTATATGTCACATATTTCAAACAATATTGAACCGATTTTGCTGAAATTTAGCAAGTTACCTGGGAGTAACGTGAGAAAAGAATCACGGTTAAAAATCCCGGGCCAGACTCTGCCTTTTTCAACTTTTTGGTCTTTTGTCAAAATTAACACATTTTAAGCACAAGATTGAAACGTTTGACTATGTACAAAAAAGTCAGCGGATGGAGATAATTAATTGGAAAAATGAATTAATGCTTAAAATTGAACTAAAGTTATTTTGGGAAATCAAAATGCCACAGTCGGATTCAGTTTTTTTATTCCCTTGTATTTTATTGAATGCCCTGTAAGTTATACTCTAAATTTATTACATATATATATTTCGAAGTTGAGTCATTTATATTAACAGTGAGTAGATCTGATCAAAAGAAATGTTTTTTCCTTTACCATTTTTCTGGTAAAATTAAAGTAACAAAGTTATAGCACTTTGGAAGTTTGAGTACCGCCCTGTCTCAATAATAATATTATGTGCTCGTGTCTGGCAACAACGGATATAATCCGCCTTATCGGTTCATCGCATCGGAAACAAAAAAGCGAAAGAATTTGGAACGATGTTTTTACAATTATTTTATTCAGTTCAGTTGTATACAGTGTCAGTCGGTAACGCGTGAGTGAATAGTGGTGTCTGTTGCGTGGCTCAAACGAAATAAAAAATGGCACATGTTTATGCGGATCGGTTTCCCAATCGAGTGCAACCAACCCCTCGTGCCTTTGTTAATGTCGTACAACGGGCTCGTGAATCAGGTGACTTAAGACCTCACAGGGGACAGCATGCCGGTGCTCCAAGACCTCACGATCAAATACAGGTCCGCACTGAAATACTTGTCGGGAGGATACTTTATAAAACAAGGTAACATTTTTTTTTTAATTTTTTTTTATTTTTACACACATATTTTGGTTTATCTTCCTTCTACAATCATTATCTGAAAATTAATGACTCAACTTCAAAGTCACCCTGTATATATATATATATATATAATGTCACGCACCCTATTAATTTTTTTCAGTAATTATACCAACTGTTGTTATACAATAACACGAGTCCGACTCCAAAAGAGAACGGAATTTAGTATCCATGCACTAAATATAACTCTCCAGACCAATTCAGGATTATGATGAAAATGTACAAAAATCTAATACACAGGTTTGGTCTCAGCATCTTCTGCAAACGTTAACATGTTCTCACCAGAACCCTACATTAGATCTAGTTAGGTACATAATGTACCGGTGGTACATCATACAATTATTAATCCATTTTTGTGAATTTTTAGCTTAATTCCAAGTTGGTCTGGAAGATCCAATTTGGTGGAAATACATATCAGTAGCATAACTAGTAAATCTGCATATATTTCAAAAGGGAGTTTTTGAATTTAATAAATTGAATACTGATATTAAACAGAGTTCGAATTTAAAAATGTTTAAGGTGAAATTAAAAAATCACTTTATGAATAATCAAAATACATAGTGACGTAATTTTAATTTTAATTTTTGAAGACAAGAATGTAAAATTACAGAAAATGGATTGAAAAAAAATATGTAACCGAATCATTATACAAAATTGACATTGTAGCATTAATGCTAAATAAATCTTCAACAACAACCAAGAAATAAAAAAATGAATCCGACCTTGGAATTTTAAGTTCTCAAAACATGTTCAGTTCAGTTTTCATTTTTAGGTGTTATTAAAAATGTTGATGACACCAAGTTGATAATCCTTGAAGTGCAGAGTTTTGTGCTAAAAATAAGATATTTAGGCTGAAATATTTAACTAAAAAAACTAAAACAGTCGCATTCAATTTATTTTGCTAATTAATTAACATCATGCAGTGACTTCATTTAGGTGTTTATTTGCATAAAAAAGAAAATAATAGGTACGACCCTGGCTTTTTCAATCGTCCGTCTAATTTTACGATACTCCTGACACTTTGTTATAATGCAAAGTTTCAACAATGACTCTGCAATAGTGTCTTAGTTATGGGATATTAAATATTTTTCATGTTTAGATCCGTAAAAACTGCATTCAGAACTTTTATTTTCAGATATGAAAAGGTCTCAGTCCATACTACCTATTATTTCACTATGTTCATTCGGTATTATTTAATATCCATATTCGAAATCCTCGTCCCACCTGCGGCATACGAGTATGAGGATAAAGTGAAAAGTTCTTGGCCTGATATCAAAATATCGCTCTTATCGGTGAAAATGTATACACGCACATGCTTACAAAGGTGTGTTACCAATGTGATAATTACGGGATTAGTCATATTCTTATGCTTTGACGCTTTTAGACTTCCGTGCTGTTCCCAAATTTGAAAAAATTTCTTTCTAAAAAGCGCTTCGGGTTCGATGAACAAGTTAAGGGGGTCGTAGAAGAACATTTTGACTCCAACTTCTAAAAAGCAATCCTAATATTACAGGAACGTTAGATCGAGTGCGTTGGAGTCGAAAGTGATTATGCAGAAAAGTTAAATCATGTTTAATTCTAAAACGCAGTATTTCTTATTCGAACCGAGAACTGTTCAACTCACACTCGTAAGGAGTCTGTAAATTAAGTAACGAGACTGACTCTTTTTTAATTTTTATCAATGAAATATAATCACTATTTTCCCTCAAAATAACTTCCTTCTGAAACGACCCACCGCTGGAGAATGTTCTTTCAATCCACATAGTAGTGCTGGACCCCATACTGGGATAGCCTTCAGCTGGCCCAAAATGAATTCCCTTGAGATGACTTTTTAATTTCGGGAGGAGAAAAGTCACAAAGGCTCAAGTCAGGCGGAGCCACAGGAATGTGCTCAAAAACTCATTTATTGTCATTGCTGTGTGACCAGTGGCATTATCGCGATGCGACATCCAATTGTTCTTGATCTCATAAATGGCGGTGTTAGGTAAATTTAACTGAGCCCATTTTGAGTATCAACCGACGATGTGAATGCACAAGATCCTGGATTCTGTCGATATCTTCATCGGTTCTTGAATATGGCCTTCCGCTTGGTGATTCATTTTCAATCGACTCTGTCCCTTCGGAAAATGTCTTAAACCACTGAAAAACCTTGGCTATTGACAAAACACTATCTTTGTAGGCCTGCTGAAGTTTAACAAGAGTTTCCGTTGCACTGTGCCCAAATTGTCACTCATTTTTAGAAAAAACTGTTTCGCAAAAAAAATTGCTACGGACAAGCAAATGAATCGAGAGAATTCAAACTTGTATACGACTGATGTCTTTTAAGTTATGCATATAGAAACATAGTAGGCCGCGCGGATCGAACGTCAGTACTTAATCTTAACCTCACTCTTTAGTAAACTTAAATTCAAAGTTTCACAACAATACGTGCAGTGTTCTCACTACAGTGAATTTTTAAGTGTCACCAAGTCATTAGAAAAATGGAAGTCAACCGAGAACATTTTCGCGCTATAATTTATTACAACTTTCAGAGACAATTATCGTAACAAGAATGAATTGCTGAGTTACTGTCTGTTTTCGGCAACGAAGCGCCACATCAGTCGACAATTTCTCGTTGGTATGGAGAATTCAAACGTGGACGGGTGAGTCTTAGCGACGATCCCAGGGTGGGTGCACAAAAAACGGCAGTCACCCAGGAAAACGTCGATGCTGTGCGCAAACTCATCATTGAAGATAGACATGTGACATATCGCAAGACTGAGGCATCAATGAAGATCTCAAAGACCTCAATTCAAAAAATATTACATGAAGTATTAGGAGTGAGAAAATTAGTTTCTCGTTGGATACCCCACCTGTTGACTTACGAGCAGAAAGCAGCCAGGGTTAATTGGTGTCAAAAAACGCTTGACCGTTTCAATTCCGGAAACTCAAAAAATGTGTACAGCATTGTTAGTGGTGATGAATCGTGGATTTATTGTTATGAACCAGGAAATAAACGGCAGTCGGCTGTTTGTGTGTTACAAGGTGAAGAAAAGCCAACAAAAGTGTTTCGAAAAAGATGGTCGCGACATTTGTGTCAAAAGCCGGTCATATTGCAACAATTCCTCTTAATGAGCAAAGAACTGTTAGTGCGGATTGGTATACCACCATTTGTTTGCCAAAAGTCATCACCGAGCTGCAAAAAATCAACCCCGAAAGAAGAATCATCCTCCACCAAGACAAAGCAAGCTCGCACACTACCCAAACAACAAGGCAGTATTTAACGGAAGAAAACGTGGAATTATTGGACCATCCTCCATATAGTCCCGATCTAAGTCCTAGCCATTTCTTTACTTTCCCGAAAATTAAAAACAGACTGTGTGGTCAAAGGTTCCAGTCACCAGAAGAATCAGTTGACGCATTCAAAAATGCCGTTTTGGATCTGCCAGCAAACGAGTGGAATAAGTGCTTCGAAAATTGGTTCGAGTGCATGCAGATGTGTATTAATCTTCGTGGAGAATACTTCCAAAAACAATAAGGTCATTTAAAACTACCTACCGTGTTGTTTTATTTCCATATGCAAAACTTAAAAGACATCCCTCGTACTTGTACTGGAGGCGGATCCCATATTTCCCTGTCACAAGCACGCTATCGAGGTGTAACTAGCACTAACGCTAAGATTTCTTCTTTATCTCATTTTTCTCCGGTTATAAATCAAAATAATTTCAGTACTCCTAGAGCTGCTATCTACCGGTAGACCGCATTTTTGGGATACCCTTTATAATGTACTATGTTCTTGCAGGCAATATTTTGTGGTGATATGTATCATACTAACCACCCTAATACTAACTTCCATATCAGTACTAGTGATGGCCGAAGAATTTGAACAACTTCCAGTGTCGTTGCAAAAAATATCCTCGACTTTCATGCACAACAGAAGAAGAAGGACACTTCTGATATGCGGAGTGATAATTCTGATGTCAATAATGAGCTCAATAACCCTTATCAATATTAGCGAAAATCCAAATTTAAATATCACAGAATATAACAGCAATCCTTTAGTTGGAGCACGGGTGTTGAACGTGAACGTCCAAGCAACTGTTCACAACAACTTTACGATTAACGTTGAGAATAAGCCGAATTGTACCGATAACTGTCTCAAAAAGCTAATAGGAAACATAGATATAGATGGAATACTTAAAGATGCTGAAAATATCACGAAATTGGCGAATAAGACGAACACAGTTTTGCAAAGCCTCAATTTGAAGCTGTCCAATCTGTCTAGGAGTTTGAGGTTCAATAGGAGGAGGTACGTAAAATGAAGCTATTTTTTAAAACATAGACCCGAAAAAATAATTAAAATAAGCTGCTCAACTTGATCAGCGAACGATTTTCTTTGATCACTTATTTTAACACTACCACTAGTCTAATTTCAATTACATTTTAAAGCAAATTCAGTCTCATTTTTCCTCATCGCGAGCAAATGAAGTGTGCTTGCGCTAAGTTACTTGAGTGAGGAGATATTCCGAAACAAAGGTTGCAGAGAACTTCACGTCAAAATTTTTATTCCTTTCAAATCTATTGTATTCTAAGATTGTCCTGGATTATCAGTTTCATTTTTGAATATTTTCTTATAATGGAAAAAAGATGGCGAAACGTTTCTGTTAAATAAATTTTCTTTTCCAGGAGAAAAAGGAGCTTGGTGGTACACAACATAACTTCGATCGAACCAGACTCCGAGTCTGAGACCAACGATACATTCGGTGGGTCCATCAACATGCTCAGACCAAACTGTAAACACCCAGAGTACATTGTCTTCACGTGGGTGTTATGTATGGTAGCTTTAGCCACGGCTCTGAAACTCTACTACCTCATCAAGCTCTTTTTGGCCATACTGATGGTTGTAATATACACGTCGCTGATACTTAGGCCTACAGATAATATCTTCAGGTTCTTCACCAGCAACCCAAAAGCGGAGTAAGTACCACAGTAACTGTTCAGTTATTTTTACTCTCCACGTCAATTAATGAAATCGCATAAGATTTCGAAAATGAGAATAAGTATCGTACAGATTTCATTTTTGCACCCTTCAGGGACTCCTGCTCATTTTCAGAAATATTTTGAACTGTTAAGGATTAAGGATTGGGGGTTGTTGGGGGTAGTGTTGACAGCTTATACTACAATAGATTTAATAATAATCTATATACAGGGTGTCCCGAGAAAAGTGTGCAATATTCCACCAGCGGTTTCTAGAGCTTAAAATAGGAAGAAAAGTTTATAAAACATAGGTCGACAAACGCCCCCTAAGGGCGCTACGGTCTTTTAAAGGGGCTCCCCTGAAGATGGTTTTTCCTTAATATTTCCGAAACGTGTTGAGATAAAGACATAAAATTTGGTATTCCAGCCTGGTTTTTTATGCTGGATTTAAAAATATTAACAATTTTTGTGTGATTCTATTTTTGAAATTCGTTATTAGAATTTCTACATAAAAAAGGTACTCTTATTGAATATCGATAAAATGAAACGAAAAAATTTGTTACATGATAGTAAATGTACTGCGAATTTAAATGAATTGTTGAATAATTAGCCATGGCAACGAAAAAAGTAATTTAATAATTGGTAAATATTAATAAATACATATTTCTATTGCAACATTTAGGCAAAAACAAAAGAAATAAATTTTTTCTACGAACGAAATTGAAATTTTATTAAAAAAGAAGACATACAGTTGGATATACTTAAAACTAGCTTTAAAATAAATTCCCATTTTTTTGGATACAGAGTATCGCTCAACGACCTAATGTTTGCGTAGCCCGAAAAGTGGAAAACCTTTTTCTTATTTCATTTGCAGCCTGATGGATTCTTTGAAGTAAATCTGCTTGAGTAAACTAGGTCTTTTAATGACCCCCAAAAATAGAAATCCGATGGATTTAGGTCAGGTGAACGTGGCGGCCACGCTATAGGGCCTCCTCTGCCTAACCACAATAGTATTATATCCATGAGCTCATTCTGAAGAAAGTTCAGATACACCTCTGAGTTAAGACGATTGGAAAGTACAATAGGCCCATTTACTTGATCCCCAATTACTCCTACTCATAAGTTCAATGAAAATCTATGTTGGAAATTTGTACGGCGAACAACTTCTGGATTTTCATCTGACAGTGATGCATGTTATGGAAATTAAAAGCACCATTCCTAGTAAATATTGACTCATCCGACCATAATATTCTAGGAATAGTGTTTTCATTTGCTAATATCCACTGGCAAATCTCGATTCGTGGTAAAAAATCTGCCTCCGTTAAATGCTGCACCCGTTTAAAATGATGGAACACGCACTACAGAAGAAATATCTCAAGTACCAAAAGAGACAAGCACTCCTCTTCTTCATCTTTATTCCAACGGCTATTGACAGTTATGTGAGAAAAAAATTGATAACGAAAACACGGTGCTTTCGTTTTTGGACTTTCATTTCTTTACCATCCGTACTTTGTGATGGCCCCTTCAAAAGAAACTGAAGTGTTTTGCCTAATTGTTAAAGGCATTCAGCCCACCCCCCCAAAAAAAATTATATCCGCAAGGTGGCAGTACAATGACGAAATTCATGATTAAATCGAACGCCTGGCCCACTGGGCTCTGAAGACGCCTACCCATCGCCGTGTGATTACACAACGTTGCCAGAACGGCGCACCGGCCTAGTCATCCTGCCGGCGCCAGGCTATATGGGATTTTGGTAAATTGTCACACTTTCATACAACTACCCGTCAACTTTGACAGCCTGTCAGTTCACCAGTCTTGGAAATGTTATATTCTAGAATAAAGCACTAGTAAGAATGAGGTAGCACCTGACCTTTCAGTCCATTTAAAAAATGTTCCAAAATTATTGCACCCATGAATTTCAGCTAGCTAACGTGACCCGTTCAAACAAAAAGTAGAGGGACCATTGAAAAGCACTGTATGTATATAAGCTACTTTGAAAAAATAGACATCATAGGTAGTATAAGTTTATTCACATATATACAGTTTCAGTGGACCCAACAATCCAAATGCATACATATAGACAAATAAACTTCAAAATCCCACTTGAGTATATATACCTGCTAGATACAGATATGAGCATCCCTACTAATATTATAAATGTGTGTATGTTTGTGTGTTTGTATGTTCCGTTTTCACGCCAAAACGGCTGAACCAATTCCGATGCATTTTGGAACAGATATAGATTAGACCTTGGAGACGAAGGGGTTGAAATGGGGGTAAATGTGACCATGTGCATCAAGAAACTATTATTATTTTAGTTCGTGATATAAATATTGGTTTTTATATATATTTGGTTCATACATATAAATTAAATGAGCACTCACAAAGCAATTTTGGAAATTCCACCCCCAAGCAAGGGTTGAAGCGAGGTAACGCCCTTTGTACTGAGGAACCTAAGCTATTTCAAATAGCCCAGAAGTAGGGGGTATCTTTTGTTTATAATTTTATCTATAAAATAAACTGACATTAACAAAGGCTTCCATAAATGATATCCTCCAGATGGGGAAGGGAGGGGGGTGAATATTTCTTATCAGCTTTTTGATTTCTTGTCACCGTTTTGATAAATTTATCTCGAGAACTAAGACATACATATGTATATAATATATATTTTCAAAGAATTTCAAATTTCAGAATTTTAAAAATTTTTAGAATCTTCAAAATTTAAAAAATTTGTAAGATTCTCAAAATTTTACAAATTTAAAACCTCAAAATTTTAAAAAATTTCATGATTTTCGAAAGTTTAGAAATTTTCAAAATTTATCAAGCTTCAAAATCATCAAAATTCTAGAAATTTTCAAAATTTTTTCAATTTATAAAATGTTCTAAATTATTATGATTTTCAAAATATTGAAAAATTTTAAAACCTTCAAAATCTTGAAAATTTTCTAAATATTCGAAATCTACAAGATTTTCAAATTTTTCAGAATTTATGTTGAATTTTCACACTATGCAATTTGAAAATTTTCAAAATTTTCTAAATTTTTCAAATTTTCAAATTTTATAAAATCCTGAATATTTTCAAATTTACAGAATTTCTATATTCTTCAATAAATTCGTAATCTTCAAAATTCTCGGAATTTCCACAATTAATAAAATATTCACAACTTTCACAATTGTCAAATTTCACAATTTTTAAAATCTTAATACTATTCAAAAATTTAAGAATGATTGGAACTTTTGAAATTTTCAAAATATTAGAAATTTATTGACGAAATGTATATTCGATCTGAGCAAGGGCTTTGAAATAAAGGTGGACATAACCGGAGCACGGGCTTTAGGCATTTTAACAAAAACTAACTGCGAGAATAACGTTAGAACAAAACACCAATTAGCACCAAATACACTTAAAACAATGAAAATAATCACAGCTACAACACTTATGTACTTAAAGAATAAATCACACGCGTGGCAACACGGTAACTAGTCAGCATGGCGAACGACGCACCTGTCTTAAATAGGGCCAATAATCTTCCGCCGAGGGCGTGGTCAGCGGGAGGCGTGGTTTTGCCAAAATATTTGTCAAATTACATCTACAACTCAAAAACCGTTTGAGCAAATGAGTTGATTTTTTCTTTGATGGCTTGTTCTTTCAGTTCTTTATGTCTTTTATCCACATACTTCCAAAAATCGTTTTCCTTCAAAAGAAAAATAAAATTTTTATGCGAAAAATAAATTATATGTGGAAAATGAGCGATAAAGGACGTTCCTTTATTGATTCATAATGCAATCACTTAATTTCATGTCTTTACGATTATTTGTTTCGAAGCTGGGACTGTAAAAAAATTGGCAAAAAAAGTTGTCATTTTGACAAAAAAACATGAGATTATCATAAAACAGTCATTTTTATACACACCCTGAAATAATCAGACAATAAGTGCTCATAATACTGCTCCAAACGCACAGTTGAAAAAAAGGGACGTGCGACCTTAATCTTTGTCAGTTAAGTCTATGAATTAAAGTGGCGGATGAAAATACGTTTCTTTTGCTTAACTGACTTCCCTATAATTTGGAAGTTGACAGCTCGCACGCAGCAACTTTTTATTCTCGTTCAACATTATTATTTATCGATGAATTTTTTTATTATTTAATTAGTAGAGCACAGTCCATTCGATTAGAGCTTTTATGCAGTTTTCCTTTTGTTCAGTGACTTTTTTGAGAAGTATTCGTTCAAAAATAATTCACAAGCTTGGTCAAAGATATATACGAAGAAGTAAAACTGACGAGCAACGACAAGCGAGAAATGAAGTTGAACGGGATCGAAGGACTGAAATTCAACAACGTACAAGTGTCGCATTTAATTCCAATCCAGCTGCATTCAATTATGACGTGGCAATCGATTACAGTTAACAACAAATTAATGCTATTGGAGCAATGAACGTTGTGTCTCCACATTACAAGGCTTTCAAGTTTAAAAATGAAGCCCCTGGATTATGTTGCGCCAGTGGAAAAGTCAAATTGACTCCATTGGTACCACCACCAGACCCACTACATTCATAGGTTTTCGGAAATGGGCCAGACCCTATACATTTTTAGCTCATATCCAGAAATACAATAATTGCTTTCAAATGAGGTTATTTGGCGTAACAAAAGTGATTCGATATAATTTTATGCCCACTTTCAAGGTAAGTTGATGGGGGAATGGCAGTGCTGTCAACGTATTTTCCATATATACTAAGTGACATATAAATCCGAACACCCAGTTTAAATGGTTTTATTTTAATAAAATTTTGTATAAGTACTTAATGAAGCATAATAAGTAAATGATAAAAATTTCAAAATGATTGCACTGCTTTAAAGCCCTTTGACCTTTAATAATGTGTGGATGCACCCTGATGTGCTACGCATTCTCAAACGCGCCTAGGCATGCTTCTGATCAGGTGGTCAATGTCCTACTGTGGTATCTCGTTCCAGGCAACCACCAACTCCTCTCGAAGTGCTTC